CGTCATTTCATCGTCGAGAAGGATATTGCTCGGTTTGAGATCACAGTGAATGACTTTGACAGGTGAATAGTGATGCAAGTAAGCTATTCCTTCAGCGACATCGCTGCATATATATACCAACTGAATCAAATCCAAGTTCTTGCTCAAGTACTCTCCCGGGTATAAGTGCCTCTCCAAGCTTCCATTTGGCATCAGTGGCAGAACAAGAGCCTTGAAACCAGGTTTTCTGCAGGTTGTGATGATCCTGATCAAGTTCCTGTGCCTTGTTCTCTTCAAGATCTGACATTCTCTTTTGAAACTCCCTGAGAACTCCAGTGCGGTCTTTGGATCAAGTACTTTAACTGCAATCTTAGTGTTGTTCCTGAGAACTCCCTTGTAAACATGACCAAATCTCCCTGAACCAATCAAGCTAGAAGCATTGAAACCTCCAGTTGCTGTTATGAGCTGTTGATACGATATTCTCGGGTACTTCGGGTCATTTCGGTTCTGTTTTTCTTCGTCTTCCACCTCTTCTTTGTCATAAACTGTTAGATTCTTTCCAAATCTTGATCTTTGGACCAGAGGGTACCCAAAAACACACAGAAAAGGAGTTACAATCAATGATAACAGAACCGGTAGAATAACAGAAGGGTACTTGTGTTTCTTCTTGCAAGCTTGCATCCCTTTTATAGAGCCACACAAGAGAGAATCTCCAAGAAAAGACTCAATAGTCAGCTTAGAGAATGATCCTTTGTCAGATACATTTCCAGAGAACAAGTTGAAGGAGAAATTCAAGTGCTTGAGAGTCGAAGACTGTTGAAAAGAAGGCGGTATAGCTCCGTTTAATCTGTTTGAAGATACATCTAGCTCTTTCAGATATGGCAATTGGCCTAATGATGCAGGAAGCGTACTGGAGAAACTGTTTCTTGAAAGATTCAAATGCTCTAATGCAATGCAGCTTCCGAGCTGAGGCGGAATCTTTCCTGAGAGTTCGTTGGAAGAAAGATCAACTGAGAGAACCATATCCATTTTGCTTAGCTCCAACGGTATTGGCCCACTTAAGTGATTGCTAGAGAGGTTAAGATACAGCTTCAGGTTTCTGAGATTGGAGACAACTTCAACAGGTATGTTCCCTGAGAGGTTGTTGTGAGAGAGATCAAGAATCTCAAGATTGATACATTTTCCGAGGCTTTGAGGAACCGTACCAGAGAGATGGTTTCCGTACAGAAGAAGTCTTCTCAGCTGAGAAAGGTTTGCAAAACTATCAGGGATTGAACCAGAGAGCTTGTTTCTAGAAACATCAAGAAGACCAAGACGAGGTATATCCCCGAGTTCCATAGGGATTTCGCCGGTTAAGTGATTATTCGAGAGATAAACCCTTTCAAGCTTGCTTAGCTTACAGAGCTCACGCGGGATTGGACCGGACAAGAGGTTACTCGACAAGTTTAGAAGGGTTAGGTTCAAAAGGTTTGATATCTCTGGTGGTATAGAGCCATGGATACGGTTTTGATCAAGATGAATCTGTACAAGATTTACAGAGAGGTGCCTTACGGAAGAAGAAATCTCTCCTCCGAGGCTATTTCCGGCTAACTCAAGCTCTTCTAGGTCAGAGGAATTGGCGAGAGAGGCGAAAAAAGGTTCGAGGTTGGTGTTATTGTTGTGGCTAATGAAATGGTTATAAGAAAGGTAAAGAAACTGAAGATGTGGCATCTTGCTTATGACTTGAGAAGGTAACTCTCCGGTTAACAGATTTGACTCCAAATCCATCCATTTGAGATTCGTAGAGTTTGAGAGAGAAGAAGGGACAGTACCGGTGAGCTTGTTCGACCAGAGAAGAAGAAACCGAAGTTCTTTGAGCTGACAATGATTCTTTAAAGGGATTTCTCCGGTTAAAGAATTGTTGGAGAGATCAATGTATTGTAGAGATAAAGAAGAACCGTTGCAAAAGAGCTGAACCGGGATTGAACCGGTTAATCGATTGCTTCCAAGATCGAGATAAACAAGACGGTTAAGCGAACCGAGTTCTTGTGGAATGTCCCCTTGTAAAAGATTCTCAGAGAGACTTAGCTGCTTCAAGGTTTTATGCAATGAGCCTATCTCAGGTGGGATTTTTCCAACGAAGAAGTTTCTCGAAAGATCAAGAACCGTTAAAGCGGTTAGCTTAGCGATCGACGGTGAGATTTCACCGCCGAGATCTTTACCACTGATATCAAGCTCGATTACTTGAGTGCTCTCTTTGTTACACTTCACACCAGACCAACTACAAACATCAACAAGCGAAGAAGAAGAAGAAGAAAGCGAAACCCAACTGCTTAGAGAGTTATGAGGATCTGAAACAATGGATGATTTGAAAGAAAGCAAAGAGATTTGATCGTTCTCTTTAGAAGCAAGAACGGTCATAACAGTGATCAAGAACAAGAAAAACAACAAAGAACAAGAATCCATTTTTGTTTTGTTTGTTATGAGTGTTTAATTGAGACAACAAAGAATCAAAAATGGTGTTTGACTATACACACATATATATAAATTATATGTTTATACAATCGAAGAGAGACAGTATCTCTTTTATAGTTTGTGCCTAACTAACGTTTGAAGATGTTAACTTTTAGCGCCTATGATGTTTGACTTAGGAAAGTCAACCAATGTTGTGTGAACGCGTGTGTAACTTGACTCCGCCACGTCATTTATTCGTTTATAATTGCCGTGTGGTTAAATTTTGTATAGTGGTTTTACATGTCAGCTACAATAACTAGCTTAAGGCCTAACTCCATCATGTGTTTTGGGTCTTTAATTAATTTTATATGTTTACTAGAGTAGATTAGACTAATTGGGATTAGTGGATGATACGTTAAAATAATGATGAAATATCATAACAATCTACAGGGGTGGTGTATCCTCAAAAAAATCCGATGTGGGCATCCATGTCGACGATAATATATAAATCAAATGGGTATATATATGATGATTATTAGAGTAAAGAAAGATTAAGAAATACGAAGATGACTTGGTTGGTTCTTTAATTTGGGAACTTAAGCACTGAGGTTTAGGGTTCATATAAGATAAATTAATCAACCTAGCCCACCACACAATGCAACCTCCTTCTTGTTATATCTAAGTGCTGATTATTACCATATGGATTTAAATAAGTTGTTGCAACTTGTTGCTCCAATATCGTTTATTTGTCTTTCGTGATTTTGTTAATCATCACAATCTGGTCCTTATCGTACGCGGACAGACACCGTCATATTTTATCTCTTTTTTGTTAAAGACTGTTCTTGTTCGTCAATTTAATTATAAAGCAAAACTTGTTTTTATCATTTGTGTTAGCCGTTGAAGTGTGGCTAAAATCGACAGTACAAGCGGAGAAGAAGTGTGGTTAGTGCGGTATATACGAGACAAACTGAACAAACGTTAAACGAAATAAATTGATAAGTGCTATATAGGTAAATAGTTATCAAACTTTGACTTTTTTTTTTATAACATAAAACTTCATACTTTTTTTTAATAACAGAGATCGTAGCCTTATGATAACAATAACATTGGAGATAGAAACATCATGTTTAGACAAAAGCTTTGGAAAGAAAATGGAAAGACTTTGTCTCAAACAGAGGTTTTAGATTCAGGTAATGTGACAGGAAAATATAACTTTCAAACTTATTTTTCTTGTTTGTTGGCTATTTGCTTTGGTACACTTTTAGTCATTTGTGTTATTCATGAGTAAATTGTGCTACTAATCTAAATTAATTTAGAATTAGCTCTAAACTTTAATTATAGTAATTATATTTAATGTTATTCAGAGCAAATAGTTGTTGATAATTAGCAATATTGAAATAGTTTACCTCAACAAAGTTGGTCACATATCATTAGATCAGTAGCTGTAGTTGTCGCAAGAAACTCTAGATTCGAACTATAGGGATCGTGCGCGAGTAGCAATGTTAATTGGTTTTCGTGTACAAGCTTAATCAATGTTGCAAATCCTTATCTAAGGTTACAACGAGCAATGCAGTAGGTGGCTTATGATCGAGAGCCCACAAAAGAATGACCTCTGTCATGGCCAACCAGGTTTGACCTTGACCACTTCCAGGTCTTGTAGTGTTGAGAACGGTTGAAAAGAGCCCTCGTTGAAGGAATTATCTTTGTAATAAAACGCAGTGATGGAGTCCATGAAGAACCCTTTGTGGAGAAGGGTGTTTTTGATGTTTTCGATTGCCTATACAGTCTCTAAGCCCTTAGGAAAGCCATAATTATCCTGGTCGATTATCACCTTCATTAATCGAAGTTTAATAGAGTATTGGTTTAAGACAAAACTTATGGTGTCGGCAAGGATGGGTGTTTCACTTTCGCTCATTCACTACAGGAAATGTGGGTATTAATAGCGGCCGAAAAACGCAATTATTCATCTACCATAGCGTTTCCTTAAGCGCTCTGACATCGCCCGTTATAGAAAGTCGGACACTTTTGATAGCGGTTTTTCGTTGTGCTATAGTTAATTGAACTACGATAGCGGTTATGACACTGCTATTATTAATATTTATAATAACGTGTAATAATTGTTATGATTGGGTTGTACCTATTTTCATGATTTGATTTTTCTACAATATTTATTTGATTAATTATTTCAATAATTTATATTTTTTATAATATTTATATTTTTGTTAATTATTTTAATTGTATTTAAATCATCTTTACTGTGATTTTTGGATTAAAATTACATATCAAAAATAAAAAATACAATATTTTATTATCATTATTACATGAAATAATATACAAAAACTTTTATAAAAATACTACATCAATTAAAAATACAAGACCAATACATCTCCTCTACATAGAATGCCTCTTCATCTGCCCTTGTCTCCTATCTTCATCTTCCTCCTCTGGCACTAGATAGCTCAATCAGAAGAAGAGTCACTTGTGTAGGTGCAATATCTTGCACATCGGCTGGTGGATAGGCTTCATAAACATGGTGGAAAACGACTCGGGCGATTCCATCTCAATCTCTTGATAATCTGAATACACATAGTCCAACTCTCTAACAACAATATAAAGCAACAAACCACACAACAACAATCCCCAAAGAGATAGCTCAGGAAAATAAAAGAGTTCCAACACAATAGTGCATAGAAACGTAACTAGAAACTCCCTCTCTGAGTCCATCTTCACCACTACCAGAGAACAAGAAACTCCAAATAGCAAGTGGGAACAACAAGACAAAACACACAAAAAAAACGTGATAAGTTGTACAAGCTTCAATGGCAACAATCCGAAAACTCCAAGCTGATCAAGTTAAATTTGGGTTAAAGAGATTCATGAATTACCTCATGCTTTCAAGAGCAGCCTTCTGCAACTCGGGATTGGGATCCTGAACCCTCTCGACATAGAGCTCAAGGTTCTGCTTTAGTTCCAAGTCCTCTTCAGACTACAATAACAGCCAATGGAAGCCGAGTCATTAAGTGACCATATACTTATCTACAAGTTAACATGCTAATCGAATGACGGACATGACATTCACTTTAATAAACGAATAGCTTGCCTGCGAAAAAAAAAAACCTAATTCTATAACATACGAATTCAATTCGATCGATTTCAATTCAAAATCTGACTGCAAATCTGACGGAACCTTGAGGGAAGCTTCATCCTGCTTCGTCTTCTTCTTATTATAAGTACCTTCGTCTTGGGATTGGGATTCTAATTGCTCAAGATTCGCAGAGCACCCACCACCATCTCTCTGACCAATAGAAGATTTGAGACGCTTATAGCAGTCATGCACTCTTCGAATCTCTTCTCTGTTCCTGCTTCTGGTTTGAATTTCCTCCTGAGATGGAGGCGACGGTGTCACCGGAGCTGGGAACGAGCTAACCACCGTAGAAGGGGATTGGGATTCTAATTGCGGTGGCGGAGGCTGAGATTCAGGAAGAGAAGGGCTAAGAGTGCGAGATAAACCTCTGGAAGCGGAGATGAGGGAGCGATACGCTTGCTCAAGATTCGCAGAGTTTGATTTTGGGACCTTTGATTTTCTCATACGAAAAGAAGAGGCAAAACGAAAAGAAGTTTTAACCAAAAAAAAAAGAAAAGAAGGAGAAAATCTTAACCGTTGGATTTAATTCATCAATGGTGGAGAATAAGCCAAAGTTCAATCCTGGAGGTTAATGCTCATTGGCTAAGAAAAAGAACGGCTCAGATCAAAGTTATCAAGACAGATCAACGGTGTACATTAATCACATCAACAATAAGAATGGACGGCTGAGATCAAAGCCGGCGCTATCTAACGGTGTAGGATTAGTCCCACAATCTGGGAGGTTACTTCCCATTGGCTATTAATGAAAAAATCAGAAAATTATCATATAAAATAGTTTATTAATGAAAAAAATAGAAATTATTTCTTTAAAAATTTAATATAAGTATTTCAATTTTTAGAATATTTTTTCTTATAAGTATAAAATTTTAAAAGTAAGAACAATTAATATAAGTTAGTATTCCAACTATCTAACTTATATGTTCATAAACACTAGGGCATAGTTTAGGGTTTAGGGTTTAAACTTTGGGGTTTAGATTTTTTTACTCAAGTTAGATAGTTTTTGGATTTTAAATTAGGATTTTAACTTTAATTTAGGGTTTAAAGATTTAATTTAATTAGGATTTTAACTTTAATTTAGGGTTTAGGGTTTAGGGTTAGAGATTTAATTTAATTAGGATTTTAACTTTCATTTAAGGTTTAAAGATTTAATTTAATTAGGATTTTAAAGATTTAATTTAATTAGGATTTTAATTTTAATTTAGGGTTTAGAGATTTAATTTAGGAATTTAAAATATGTGGATTTTAACTTTAACTCTAATTGTGCTTGCATTCTCAAATATGTGGTTTGTATCAAAAGTCAAGTGCATTTAACAATAGAAAACAAAGTGTTCTACATAACATTCTAGATATATAAAACACAGTACTTAAAAGTTTCAGACGTAGACTCATTAGGCCAAGCAACTACTGTGCCTATTGCATCGGAGATGAACTTTACTTCTGAATTTGGCCTCCACACTTTTGCATCATCAACCTTTTGCAACCATCAGTCTGTATTAACCATGTTTCTTCTCAAAGATCACGATCTCCATCTTTGATTAGAAGATAAGATGGCAGAAATCGGGGAAGCTTAAGAGCTGTTCTTCACAAACTGTAAACCACGAGAGTTTCAGACTTCAGAAGAAGCACTATACTCACTACAAGTTTTATGTTGCAAATTGAGTTTGGATAGCACTATACTCAGTATAGTCACTTGCAACATAAAACTTGTATCATTACAAGCACTATACTCACTACAAGCCTAAGATCTGCTGCTTATCCACTTGTTCCAATCATCCCAGTCATCAACTATCTTCTGCCACTCGAATCTTGAGGGATTGAAAAAGAACTGATCAAACAACCAGGAACCCACCAGGAACCAGGTTGAGCCCATCACAAGCGCATATGCCACTGAGTCCTCTGTTGCTTTCCTGTACAGCCTGTAACATATCAGCAGCACCATCAGCTCCATTCCTTTCACAAAGTGGCTTCTTGAATACATCCTGTAGTTCATAGTCTGTAATACACAGAATAACTTCGTTAAAAACAAATTCATAGTCAATGGTTAACTCGTATTGAGACAGTATCACTATTCGCAAAAAGATATATGTGAATCAATCATCAATTTAGCCAAATCAGAGAACAAGCAAAGATAAATCCTAGCTGATGAGAATATCTATTAACAGTTCTTGGACATCAAAATTTCTGCAGCTACTGAGCAAACTAAGAAGCTACAGATGACAATCAAAGCAATACATATCCTAAAAGGAGGGAAGAACCGCTCCATTTGGCACATTGTCTCAACTAACTCAGACTCACTAGAAATCAGCTTCTCTGGATCAATCACATGCTGGCACAACCTGTTGAAGTAGTTGCATAATCGAGTCACAGCAACTCTTGGTCCTTTTGGTAGCAATCCTCTCAAAGCAACAGGCAATAAGTTTTGCATAAGGAGATGATGATCATGCGACTTCATACCACTAATAACAGGAGGATCAAGAGAAACACAATTTGCAATATTGGCACAGTACCCATCAGAACCTCTAAACTTAGCTAACATATTCAATCTCCTTAACAAACATGGCAGAACAAAAATAGAACAACAAGGAGAGAAAGGATTCACAATCTTACGATTAAGCTCAAGTCTTCTTTGGACAAAGGATTTGTAGAATCTGTCAAGAAAAAAAATACAAATGATCTCACAAATCAAAAAGAGACATTCACACAAATAACAAGAACAACAAATAAGTACGCTACAGATTTTGTCAAATATATTGGGACCAACACATGAATCTTATTGATATTTTATAAAATACGACAGTTCATGTGAAATCATATGGGATTACACATAGAAACAAGTCGAATTCGTAAGTTTGAAACAAAAATTAAAAATCCCTAATTCATACCTTCACGAAATCTGACCCAGAGAGCTACCTGCAAAAATCAGAAGTTTTCAATTGGATTATAAGCTGTTTAACCCAAATTAATCAAAAATAACACAAGTCCAAATGATACATGGAAGAAGAAACAATTAACTGAAGAGATTTATCAGTCGACATTGAAGAATCCTAAATCGATATATACCAAACTAAACTCTTAAAGATTCAACCTAAAACTCAAATTATACCTGTGAAATTGGAATAAGATGCCAGCGACGACAACGGCGGCGAAGGTCGTCTCGGAATTTCACGGCGACAACGACAAAGCTTTGTACAGGTAGAGAGAAAGAGAGAAGGGGAACACGAGAGAAAGCTTAGTGTTCTTTTTGCTTTTTTTTTTCTAAGTGTTTTATCTTTGTTAGTGAGGGAAAAAATGCAAAAGTGATTTTTATTGTTTTCATTTATTTTGCCTTAGACAAAATCAGAAATTTTTTCCCTCTTAACATTTTTAATAGCGGGAATTGAACTTTAGTAACCCGAAAATTGGCCGCGTGAATTTCATATATCCCGCTTCAATCATTTATAGCGTTTACAATTCACAAAACGCTATCTATTAAGTCAAACATAGCATAGACATAAAAAACGCTATTTTTTAGTGCTATCAATACCCACATTTCCTGTAGTGATTCTTTTGAAAAGGATGAGCAACCTGCAATTGAAATGATGAACAAAAAATGTGTATGCGGTGAAGCACATATTTGATTTTATTTTTTGTGACAATAAAAATTAATTCTAATTTTTAATTGAGTTTTAAAATGTATTAGATTTGTATGTTTAAGTATAATTTGATATGATATAATGTTTAATGTTTCATTATATTTTAAATTTTGTATAAAAATCGCTTCAAAACACTTCGTTTCTGTTGATCAAACTTGATAAAACATAAAGGCTTGAGGCCCAAGAAAGACATAAACAAGTCGGTTTATGTTAAAGAAGATTCTAGAGTTTGGTTAGGAGTTATCTAACCTAATCCTATTGTGATTAGGATTTGTAGAATAGTATAAATAGAGGTGCCAAGGTTGTGGCTAACCCTATGTGTTGTTTTGAGATTAAGAAAGATTGTGTAACCTTTGTTTTGAGTTAGTTTCAAAGGTAATAAGAAGAGCGGTTCTTATAAACACAAAGTCTTGATCTTTAGGGTTTGATTCTTAGGTCTTAATTCAATAATTGGTATCAGAGCTCTTTACTATTGGATTAGGTAACCTAGGATCGAAGGAAAGCTTTATACGTTGCGAAACAGAGTTCGTCACAAGGTAAAGCATGGCTGAGATAGTTCCGGTTCCAGCTAGGAACAAGGAGAGTAGTTCTTCTATACAGTGTCTGATGCTTAACGCATCCAACTACACCGTATGGAACATGCAAATGAAAGGGGTGCTTAGGGTTCATAAGGTTTGGGATACAATAGAACCAGGGAATAATGATGCTGACAAGAATGACTTAGCTAGGGTTCTTCTATTCCAATCCATACCAGAATCAATGATTCTCCAAGTTGGAGATTATGAAACTGCAAAAGAAGTTTGGCGAGCAATCAAAACAAGAAATCTAGGTGCTGACAGAGTAAAAGAAGCAAGATTACAAACTTTAATGGCTGAATTCGACAGACTTAAGATGAAAGAAACAGAAACAATTGATGAGTTTGTAGGGGAAATCTCTGAAATAGCTACAAAGTCAGCTGCGTTAGGAGAAAGTATTGAGGAACCAAAACTTGTCAAGAAGTTTCTTAAGAGTGTACCTCGAAGGAAATATATCCACCACATAGTTGCTTCTCTTGAACAAGTACTTGATTTAAAGAAAACAAGTTTTGAAGAAATAGTTGGTAGATTAAAAGTATATGAAGACAGAGTTTGTGATGAAGAAGATCATCATGAAGACCAAGGAAAACTCATGTATGTTAACTCAGACTAACAAACCTATTAAGAAAGCTATGGTTCAAGAAGAGGCCGAGGTTCAAATTTCAGAGGCAGAGGTCGAGGTCGATTTGGTACCCAACAAAATGGCTCTTTCAGACAAGGAAAAGATAAATCCAAAGTAATATGCTATAGATGTGATAAGAATGGACATTATGCTTCAAATTGTCCTGACAGACTACTAAAACTTCAAGAAACACTTGAGAATAATGAAGAAGAAACTCAAGAAGCGGATAGACTAATGATGCATGAAGTAGTCTATCTAAACGAGAAAAATGTGAAACCAATCCAATTTGAAAGTCAAATGGAAGATGAAAACGTACGTCTGGTATTTGGACAATGGAGCAAGTAACCACATGACAGGAAACAGAGCCTACTTATCTAAACTTGATGAAACAATCATAGGAAAAGTGAGATTCAGAGATGATTCTCGCATTGACATTAAGGGAAAAGGCTCAATTCTCTTTGTAAGTAAAGATGGAGAGAAGAAAATACTTGCTGATGTGTATTACATACCAGATTTGAGGAGCAGTATCATAAGCCTTGGACAAGCCACTGAGGCAGGCTGTGATATCAGAATGAAAGATGCACAGTTGACTATATATGATAAACAAGGAAAACTACTAGTGAAAGCTAATAGATCAACACTACAAGAAAAATCAACATTGATAGCAGTAGAAGATAGCACATTTTACTAAACTGCTATAAATGATGAGTTCGTAATTTTGATTACTTTATAATAGCACCGGATTAACGCTAAGACCTCAAATCCTTAGGCGGGAAACAAAAATGACCTATTCCGCCAACACTTAGGCAAAATAATTCACTTTTCCCTCTGTTCTCTCTCTTTTAGCGGAAAACATAAACACTTCACTCTCTTTAGTAACAAAACCTAAACTTCTCATATCCACGATTTCTCTCTAATCCTAGCCAAATTGCATACCAAAATCGATTCCAAGCTTGTCGCCGGCCATAAATTTATGTTCCTCCGCAGTCACATTCTCCAGCGCCGCCGCAGTCACATTCTCCAGCGCCGCCGCAGACACATTCTCTAGCTCAAATTGAAGGCATCTCTTTCTTCCCAACTCTAACTACACTCTTTCTCTCATTTCATTGTGATTTCGACTTGTTTAGATTTGATTGCAGTCCTTGAAATTATCGATTTCGCTCATTATATGCTCGATTCCAAGCTTGAAATTATCGATTTCTATCTTTTTTTTTTAATATCTCTCTGCGATTTTAGGGTTCATATGCTTTGAACTGTTTTTAATTGAACTGTATTCGTGATTAAGCTCAAATCCAAACCATGTTTCAAATCTAGGGTTTATATTAATCGATCTGTTTTCTAATAAGTGCTATCCTTTTGCATGTCTGTGAATGATAATTAGTTTACCGTGCTCGTGCTTTAGTTTATAGTTTTGAGCTTCGCCTGATGAAGAAACGAGAATGGTGTTTTGGTTTTGAAAGTTTTAATCGATTTTATTGTTAAATAGGATACTGACTAAACTAATTTTATTGTTTTGCAAGTGTTGGTGATTGCATTATTGGGGAACTGAAGCTTATCTTGTTGTTGTAATCACTCACAGGTTAGTCCTAAACTAATTTTGTAGTAATTCTTTCTCTTACGATTGTTTTGGTTTGTTCTTCAACTTTTTTTTGTTATTTATAATGTGTTTGAGTTATATTTGAGTTTGAGTTAAACATAGTGTACTGTTTTAAGTGTGTGAAGAGTTAAACTTAGTGTAGTGCTTTAAGTATCTGAACTTGAGATGATAATTGTCAGATATGATGTGTTTGTGTTCTTGTCAGTTTGTATTGTTGTCTTTGTGTTAATATAATGTATTATCTTGACCACAGTTAGATGTTTGAGTTTCATATTGTGTTAATGTCTTATCTAGAACTTGAGATGGTATCTTATGGTTGAATTGTTGTTATAAAGGTCTTACTTACGCTTAGTACATATAATGTTGGACAAGTCATGGGTCCATCTCTGCAGGTAAGGAATTAAAATGTTGGACAACTCTTAAATTACTTTTAGAGTTTTTTTTTAAATGTTGGACAACTCTTAAATTACTTTAAGAGTTTTTTTTTTCTCCCTTCTATTCTTAAGAGTTGATTGATATGTCTATAATTTGCATGATTTAAGCATTCATTCTTCATCACTTTGTCATTGTTTCAGTCACATTTCATCTCATTAGTAGTCGTTTTAGTGTGTTTTGCATACTTAGGACGTTTTTGCATTAGGATTGCATGTGCATCGCATATTTGGTTGTTTTCAGGTACTTTGAATGCTTTTGGAGTTCAAACAGAGGAGAAACAGAACAGAAATTCAGAACGCTCAATCACTCCCTCAGCCAAAGCACTCGATCGCAACCTCGGAGCCCTGACAGAGCAAAGCACTCGATCGCAACCCCAGAAACTGTCATGAAGGGCAAAACCACTCGATCACAACCCCGGAGCAATTTCAGAAGAAACCACTCGATCGCAAGATCGAGCAGAAGCTGTCATGAAGGACATATCACTCGATCACAACCCCGGAGAAGCCAGCAGCTTAGTTTCACTTGATCGCAAGCCAAGAGGGATCACCCACTCTACACCACTCGATCACCACCTTGTCATCAGAAGCCCATCTACTCATTCCTCACTCAACCAGACAAGCTGAGCATACGGAAGAGAAGAGAAGCTGAAGAAACCACTCGATCACCACCTCACGTCATCTACTCGATCGCACCACTCAATCGCAAGGTCGCTGGACCATTCCATCTCGTCTTCACTACAGACCACTCGATCGCAAGACGGAGTTCCCGAAGCCCAGTTTGATCAGTTTCACTCGATCACAGGGAAGCCCACTTCAGCCCATCAGATGCTTGATCGCAAAGTCTCGTTGTGAAGACCACTATCCCGAACTTTCCTTATTTAACTTTTTTCGCTTATATAAGCAGCCTCTAAGGGTTTTCCCTAGGGCATCCAGTCTTATTTTCAGTTTTTACCTAGACTTGTTTACATAGCCGCAGTGTGTTCTTCCTGCGACTTTGTATTCGCTTTCAAGTATTTTATAATTCAGTTTTTGTTTCAGTCTTTATCATTTCCTGTTATCATGTTTTCAATCGTTTCATTGCTATTGTTTTTGATTATGTCTGAGTAGTGAATTGTATTTCTGAGGATGGGATAGAGTAGTCGTGGTTGCCCTAGTCGCTTTAGATGGTTGATTTTACATTGTTTGAATCCCTTCTGGATTAGTTGCGCTTATTGCCTGTTCCTTTCTGATCAACTGGAAAATGAATCCAGACATTCCCGCACCCAAAAGGTGTTTGATGGAATGTCTGATCCACTAATTCCAGAGATACTCGTCTCTATCCCAAGGTATTGGCCGTTTAGAGCGGGTATTGGCTTTAACAAGTTGATTCGATATTGCCTGCTTAGTTAGAGATCGCTAATGGTGATTAGGTCTGTGTCTAGCTCTGCTTGAGAATTTCTATCACGGTGGTGAATTGATTTGCTTTTGAACTTGTTGTCAAGGGATAGCTTCTGTGAATTTTTGTCAACCGTCTAAATAGATTAAGGAGACCACGCTATTCGATTACCCTGTCCTTAGGAATCTCTCATCCATTTGATTGCCTGCTATCTTACCTGCTTTGTTATTCAACTGCCTGCTATTGCTAGTTTGCATTTCA